GGAACACCCCGCTGCTGGGGGGGCACAGCGGGGCAGGACAAAGCCGCCTCACCTGAAGCTCTCGGTGGGTCGCGAGGGGGTGAAGGTGTTTCCCTGCGTGAAGAGGGGCTGGTTGGCGGGCACGGAGCCGGCGGGGAGGGCTTTGTTCTGGTCTGAGGAGAGAGGCCGGGTCACCGCGGGGCCGGGGGAGTCTCTGCAGCAGGAACGGGGACAGACAGACACGCCCGCGCGAGGGGGGAGCACTCCGAGCCAAGGCAAACACGGCTGCTCCTGGTCCAGAGACGGACTCCAGATGGTTTTGTAAAAGCCCGTTTAATTTGATTTCCTCTCCGTTTTACTAATAAACTCGCATTAAGGTTCTCCGGGGTCGGAGCATCCACCACGCTCAGGGCTCAGACTGGGGCGGAGGGAACCGCTCTCGGGGTGGGGGGGACAAGCGGGAAGGCTCAGCCCGAGGCCGGCGGCGAGAGCGGAGCGAGAGGCACCTCACGCCCGCTCCCTCCCCGGCGAAACGCCGCTGCAGGACAACTCACTGCCGCAGCAGCTCACCGCCACAGACGGGAATCCTCCACCCAGCCTCAAAGCCGGCGCTGGTCTGCAAGGCCCGCAGGCAGCACCGCGCGGAGGGAGGCGACCCCACCCCTGCGGGCTCCCTACCTGCGCCCATCCCGCTGTAGATCTCGCTGAACCGGGGGTCCCGCTCCTGATTAAAAAGGTTCTCTGCCTTCTCCAGGGGCTTGCTGTGCTCCGGGCCGGCGGCTGCCACGGGCTGAACGGGAACCTGGCGCGGGCAAGCGGGAGCCGTTAGTACCTCGAGCACAGAGGAGGCGGCCGGGGGTTCTGCGGGCAGAGGGCTCGTGTGTAGGAGGTGGGGGTCCCCCCACCGGGCTCCCCCATGTTTTACAGGGCCCACGTGGCAGCAGCGGGGAGCCCAGGAAGCAGATCACCTTCCTCTCCCAACTCTGAGCAGCCTCAAGTCAATCCCGTGCAGCCACCTTTCAGGGCCCGGCAGAAGGGAATTTAAATAACACCGGAGAGCAAATGCAGGGAGTAACCAAACCCCGCGCTGATTTACCTGCGAGTGGTCGTAACCAGACAGGCTCTCTCTTCCCGGGACCACTTCCAGCTCTGTCTGTTGTGGTGGCTGCTGCTGCCTAAAATAGAAAGGCTCTGTAACAGGAGAGCACCGGCTGCTAAAAACGATTGCCAAGGGAACAGCTACTCTGTGGTTACACCAGTGATTCATTAGCCCAGAGGAGTTCACTGCTGCGGAGAGGAAAGGTTGGGTAGGAAGGCTATTTGACGGGAGGGCAGAACCAGCAAGAGAGGCACGGTAAAAGGAGCTGAGCACCTCCTGACCTTGCGGGCAGCTGCGCCGTGCCCATCTCCAGGGGAAGGCTGACACTCTGCCCCAGCTGGGGCCTCTGCATGGAGTTTGACAGGGCAGGCCGAGACTCCTGGCTGGAGTTCCTTTAAAAGCAAAGAAAGAAAGAAAGAAAAAAAAAAAATTAAAAAAAAATACCAAAGGAAAGCAAACAGTCGGCTACTGCGTGCAGGAGAACGCGCCTGGCTCGGTTGGAAGCTTTGCTTTTCCAAAACCTGTTTGAGTGAAGGCTCCTTCCCCTCTGAAAGGGGGCTGTCAGGGAAGGCAGGGGCTCTGCCCCCTCCCACTCAGGCGCTGAGCAGGGGAGCGCTTACAACCTACACCAGGAGCACGGGCAGATCTGCAGCGTCCTTAAAGCACGAGCAAAGGTTGGAGGAACCCAAGAACCCCCGAGGTTTTCTGTTCAGCTCTAGGTCAGACACTCCAGGCTGGAGCATGCAGAGACCACCGGCAGTTTTAGGTTTTAAGCCCAAGCCATTGGTGTTCTTTATGCTCTTCTGTTAACCGTCAGAAGTCAGTTAACGGTTAACTCCCACAAGAAAGGAATAACAATCCAGCGTTTTCTCGGCAGTTCTTTTGCAAGCTGCTGCTTCCGTAGCACCTGACGAAACAACGCGGAAAACCTGGTGAAGCTGCGCACGGATAAAACGCACCTCACCCCCCAGCAGAGCCAGAGCTGGCCTGGACTTGCGCCGTGCTGCGCGAAGGCTGGCTGTGAGGATGGATGCGAGTGGAATGGATGAGCTCGAAGAGATCTCTCTAACACCGGGACAGGGATTAAGGCCCGGATCAGAGCCGCGTCAGGCTCGGCCCTGCGCTCAGCTCTTTAAGGCCAGGAGGGTCTGTCCCTGCTCAACCCCCAACACTTCCCCATCAGAAAGCAGCAGTTTGCCAGCTGCAGGAAGGGACGACGTGCTACCTGCGCTCTAGGGCTTTGCCTCTTTCCAAAAAAAAAACCACAAAACAAAAAAACAAACCCCAGTTTTTCACTAGCCCACAAGCAATCTAGCCTTCCGCTTGCCTGCCTGGAGAGACGCCACTTGCTGCACCCACCAAGCCTGCACTTAGGAGTCACGTGCAGGCATGCATTTATTTTTTAAATTTTTTCTCCTTTATTTCAGTTGCTGCTCTTCTGTAAGGGGCCTGGAGCTCACTCGTGGGAAGAGAGAGCAGCTCTGATCACTCCCAACCCACCGGAGAGTCAAAAGAGAAGGGAAAGAAGAGCGCAGCGGTGAAAGCGGCCTCCCCACTGGAGCTCGTTTCCGAGTCCGAGGACAAACTACAGCAGCGAAGAAAAACAAAGCGTTTGCTGCCCACCCTCGGTGGCAGAGCCCCGCAGGAGCCCGAGAGCTACAGCCAAGGGCCCTGACATCAGCTCCGAAGGCAAACACGCAGCCAGGAGACTCGCTCCAGCCACCAGAGTTTAAAAACGGCCCTGCTGGAGCCCAGTTTGGCAGCTCGCTAAGCCGCACAACCCGCCAGCCAAAGGAATTACATTTCTTGCACTTTATAGTCCTCTAGTGCCTGCCACAGCCCAGGAAAAGCGCTCACGGGACTGAGGGACTTCTCCAGGGCCCACACAAAGCCTGGCGAGGGGGAGAGGCCAAAGCTCCCGCAGTTCTGTGCTGCCGGTTACTCCGGGAGGAGATCCCAGCGGTTCAGGTGCTAGCACTGGTGGTTGGCAAGTCATTTCCATGTACATACTTGACGTTGGTGTTGGTACAGATGATGTACTCAATTTCATCCGAGTAGGGGTTCTGGAAGGTAAAGGAGCTGGTTCTCATCCAGAGCCATTCCCGGTTTTTGGATCGGAATCGGAACATGACTGACAGAACCTGGCCTTTTAACTTCACCACCTAAAAAAACGTAATGCCATCAGTAGTACCTGATAAAAGAAGGTGTTGAAGAGCTTCTGAGCACAAGCCACCCCCCCCTGCTAAAACCCCGTGATGGCCCTTTGCCTCGACGCCTCCAGACCGTGCCGCGGTCTGCCCCAGCTAACGGCCGCCGCCGCGCTTCCCTCCGGCTCCCCCGGCTCCTGAACCCCCCGGCAGGGGAATCTAACGTCCCCCTTCTGGCTTCCACTTTTCTTATCTCTTTGCACTGGTGAGATGTATGAAAAAAGCCTCCAGAGTAAATGAAGCACATGCTGTTGCTCCTGATTCCAGCTGTTTGCACAAATGGACATGAGCAGCTACTTTTTTGGAGTCATGAAAGCACAGGGGCAGTCTTACCTGCCCTGCCACCAGTCCAACGCCCTCAGAAATAAGAGTAACGACAACAGGGCAAGCAAACCACATCCATTTCGAGTTCCGCAGCACTGGGCTGGGCCCTAGAGATGAACCAATGTTTCAGCCACAGAAGCATGGCATTCGAGTAGGCACTTTGGAGCCACGTCTCTGGCCCTAAAAGCAGACTGGGCTAGCAGCCAGAGGATGAATTCAAGAGTTAGACATCAGATGCTTCTGGTTTGTTTTGCACATTTACAGTTAACGTGAACTGTTATCTGTCACCGTTTGCCATTGGGCAAAAGGAGAAATATCTAAGGTTTCTTTTCCTCTCGGGTTTTCCAATCAGTCTCATCGCTTTGCAAGAACCAAGACAGATTCCGATCCGAATGCCACGCCGCACGCAAAGCGGCAGCTGAAGGGTTTTACCTGCTGAAAGCTGTCCCGCAAAAGCTGCTGGTCTTCCGGGTGGCAGAAATCCACAATGTCTTTCCCCAGAAGTTCCTGATTTTAAAGGAATTGGGGAGAAAAATCAAGTCAGTTCATCTGGCAGGCAGACTCCCCCTTTCAGGTCTGCCCCGTTAATTCCCCTTTGGACAGGTAATTACTGCTCCCCCCCCGCCCAAATCTCCGCTACACGACCCGAGCGGAGGAGCTGGCGTGCTGGATTTTGAAGAGAAGCACAACAGCAGTTGAGTAACGTTTGATCTCCGACTCAAACAGAGGCAAAAATGATCCTAATTGACATTAGACATAATCCAGAGCCACCCACCCTTCCAGTGATCAAAGTACTGAGAAAAACACACGAAAAAGCAACTGGCGGAGAAGAACCACATGGCTGGTTTAGGCCCTGGGCATTGTTTTATCAGATCTGTCAGACAAGCAGAGCCACGACGTACGAGACAGGGAGGAGGGAAAAGGAACTCTGAGCAGCAGTTCTGCCCGTGACATGCTCACCTGTGGCTGGTAGCCAACCGTAGCCACACACCGGTGATCTATGAAGGTGAAGATGCCTTCGGTGTTGTGCCGGGAGATGAACTCTGTTGGCTGACAGACATTGTTCATGTCCGTGCAGTTGGGCGAGCTGGTGACCTGCAAGGCCAGACCGGGGCAGCGTTACCAACTCCTGCAAGAGCTGCTCTCTCCCGGCGGGTTGTGGCCACCGCGGAAACGTCTTCAGACCAGTTTAACTCTGGGGACTCTCGGGACAAGGCAATGTTGGACCACTGAGTGATGCCACCCACCTGGAGCCTGCCAATAGCCACGAGGCAAAACTTGCTGCCCTGGCCAGCGTCCGGGTCATCATCAGGCAGGGAAACACCTGAGAGGAGCGC